CCAATTGTTGCCAAGGGGTTTAGGGGAGGCTCAGGGCTTCCAGTGGACGCTTGCACCAGGAAAGCACTCCGAGTTGTGCCCTGGACCGTGGTGAAGAGCTCCAAAATTCGGCGGAACAGTCGGTCGTAGGCAGGGGGTGGCCAAGTTGTAGGGCTGAAGAGGCTGAAGAGAACACACAAAGAACCACACGAGCAGAGTGAGACCGAGCAGTGGATCTTGGCTTAGCTCATTCCTGAGGTTGTTCCCGGTGAGAAGATCTACATCAATCCCAGTGTCGCCACTGTCCCAGCAGGGTGGGAGGTAAAAGCCGGCACTCGTAGTGACTAGTAGTATATCGATCGCTGCATGAAAGGTGTCCCGGATTGCCTCAGTTTGTCAAAACAGGGTGAGTAATGGAACTTGATGAACTGAAGCTACAAAAGAACAACGCCTTCGCAGGAAGTTTTGTGAGCGGCTTTGCAAGTGACTTACTGAATCTCCACTATGTGCGCTGCATCCCCATCCGATTCCAAAGAATGCGAACCGATCAAACTTCCTTTCTAAGAAGCACAACTCCTGGATCTCATGGCCCGGCTTGTCCCGGGGTTTGGTGGCTTTTCGATTTTGGCTGATAAAGCCTCCCCACACGGTGTCTCCTGAAGCTACGTAAGGCTGCAACCGCTGAGTTCGCCACAGCCCCCACCCCACTTCACGATTTTGCAGTGATCTACTTGCGGAGGCGCTGGATCTAGCAAATATCGGCGCAGGCTCCGGGCCACATCCGGCCCACACCAGTACTCGAGTCCTTAAATCCGGAAAATCCCATGGTCAGACCACTTCACTGCGAATCCAAATTCTTTTGAAGTTTCTGCTCGATTCCCTATCAAGTCTGTTGAGTGCTTGGGTTCGCTTCAGAAGCCTCGAACTGAGACCCGAAAGCCTCAAGACCAAAAGCAAGGCAGCCTTAAAGGTAGACCACCACCTCTCATGTATCTCCCTTGATATCCTTCTAAGCGTTAGAATTTTTGTAGGCGGGACCTGCCGAGGTGCCGATGCTGCTCTCCACGCGACCGCAGGCCTCCGAAGCGCTGAAGATCGCCAGCACAGGCAGCTCTGGGCCAGGCCGTCTTTTGGGAGCTTGCAGTGGTCTCGGGTCAAGAGGGTATGTGGTCGGCTTCGTCTGGCGCTGTCCTATTTGGGTTTCGGGGTGCGAGTGGCCCGCGGAAGTTTTGGAAGTCTTTCTATGTGGGAATATAGCGGCTCAGTGCACCAGACGGATCCGGCTTCGGGATTCAGGGCTTGGAGTGGGCTTTAAGTTAAGAGACCATGGTCCGATGCGCCGGGATCTGTGGCTTAAGGATTTAGGAATATTTAGGACATAGGACTCTTTCCTCTTTAACCTTCTTGGCTACGGCTGAGGATCTAGGGGCTCATACTTCGACAGAATCGGGTTTGGAGCTTGAAGGGGTGGCTTGGGGTTCGGGGTCTTGGGTTGAACATGGAAGCCTCGGCTATCACTAGGATTCCGTGGCAACCGCTGGGTCAGCCCGTCACGCCGTCAGCCCCCAAAATCCACTGCCGCCATCTTTTCAGGGTTTGGACATTCGGGCTTGGGCCGCGGAGGCTTCTTGTTTCGGTTTTGGCTTTCAGCGCCTTGGCTGTGGTGTGTTTTTCTAGTGGCCGCATGGAAAGAGAGAGAGAGAGAGAGAGAGAGAGAGAGAGAGAGGCAGAAAGGGAAGTGGAGGAACACAGATCAGGCTGTACTATGACTGCTGGAGTTCTCTCACACCGGCGGCTTTTTGGGTCAACCGGATTCCTTGCGGGCTTTCAAGTTCTTGCTTCTTCGGGCCATGAGGGTCAAAAACTGGAGCCGGCACGCGCCAACCGTAGACGGCCTTCGAAAAAGCGCCATGAAGTCATAAAACTAAGACCTGAACCCCCAGTTGCTTCTCGGCCGCAGACTGGCATTCAGGGCTCAAGTGCGCAGGGCAATCGCGTCTCAGATTTCCATTTGCTATCTTTTCGCACGGAGCCCAGTCAGTGTGGTCTAGTACGGTGTTTCGAGCCAAGCAAGCCCTCCGGCTCAAAGCTACCGTTGGAACAGTTGCCCAGTTTCCCGGTCGACGGCTTTCAGCGGTTGTTAAACAGAACTGCCCAGACGAAACCCGGAATTAAACCCACAGAGCCGCGCCCCGCAAACCGGAAGCCCTAGGCCTTAAGCTTCAGCAAGCGGGTGGAACAAGGCGGCAACGCAAAACCCCGTGAAACTTTCTGAGAGCCACAGTCGCGGAACCTGGGCCACGAAGCACTGTTTTTGTATCCTGTGCATATTCGTCAGACATTTGGACAATGCTACTCTGAACTCATTGAGCGCCCACATCCGACCTGTGAAGCTATTTAGAGCTTCGGTTGACGGGATACTAATCTGTGGTCATGATGTCTTTCAACCATATGGGGAAGCTGCTAAATGTAGTTGCAATGCTCATTACTTGATTGACTGTTGCGGCAACGGCATGGAGCCCCAGTGGAACACAAATGAATGTAGCTGTTCAGCAGCTGCTCCCCAACTCAGGTCAAACCTGAAAGCCCTGAGACCTTGGACCCTAAACCAAAGCCCTTCCTTGATGGAAACCATCCAGGCTCAACCATGGCTTTGAAGCAGGATCTGAACAAGTGGAAACTGAGCAAGGCCAGAAAGAGCTGCAGGTTTCTGAGCTTTGGGACTCTCAGCTTTAGGGTGCTGGGGCGGAAGGTAGGTTTAGAGTCCGAGGGACCGCGATCATGCATGTGTGCTATGGTCCGTGAAAATACAGCAAGTATCTCTGTTCTATGAAGAATACACGGACCTGCGTGGACCTTCATGGGTTGGCTTGCCCAATTCATGAGAAAATTGTTCGTGCTCGCTTTCATTTCATGGTTGCGGGATGTCTTACGGGGACTCGTACAGCCGCTGCGAAAACCTCTGGTAGCTTGCTTTGTTTTCCCTTCCATCTTGGGTCTTTTTTCTGATCAGATGTAAAGAGATTAGGTTGTTTGTGACATCCGTGAGTGCATTTGCTCATGATTTGACAAGTCAGGCAGTGAAGATTCAGATGGTATTACGAGTCTTGCTATGGTTTGTGCCCGAATACTCGGGGGATGCATATGGCACAACTACTGTGTTACCTTTGCTCTCCCACTAGTGGCGTTGCTACTAAATGCTGCTGTACGGGTTCCATTGTCCGTACACGATTACTAGCAGTATTGCTAGCAACATCAAACGTAGTGTATGATGCTCGCCCCAGTATCTGTAGCATCCGTACTTAGTACTCACTAAGCGTACATGAGGTACGACTCGTGCTAGATGTCTCGTTTGCAACAATCCGCAATTGCAAGCAACAGTATTGAAATTACTGCGGATTTTCATTCTATTCAATCTGCTGAGATGGAAAATTATGGTTTGCATCACTAGAGTTGCTCATGCGCTGCCTGCCAGCTAAACCGTTCATATGATAGTGGTGATCAGGGCTGCTAGTGCTTGTAATACTCCTGACGATTACCTTTTGTACCGGTAGTATTCTTAAGGATTCGTCAACGTTACGGATTTCCTTCTTGCGCTTCGCAGGGCTTGGATTGCTTCTTACCGCACAATCAGGAATAGTTAGTCTGCAGTGTGCAATTGAACACAGAGTGGGCGAGCGACGTTTGAGACGAGACTTCTCTCGATTGATTTGGGTTTGAATGCCTGGAGTAAGACGAGCAGCAAGCGAGCTAGGCAGACAGGTGCAGGTTGGATTCAGGGCTTTGCAAGGTGACTACTGAAACCAGATGCAGCACAAACAAAAGGCTTTCCGCGGCTGTATGCTGTGGGCAAATAAGTTGTGGGACACTTGAGGTAGTAGCACGCTCCGCGCGTGACAGCAAAATCCGTAGATCTTCCGAGGGCTTGCTACCCTGAGCCAGAAGACTAATATGCTCTCAGAGAGCATCCTCCGAAAGATCATCGGAAGGTCCGTGACATGGCCACTCGGGCGCACGATCACAAGGACCGGACCTCGTGCTCCGCACGTTCGAGCTTTGAAACCCTCTCGTTGTATTGAACGACTCAGCCCTACCCGGTAGCTCTAGCACTAGCGGCAGCAGTACCAGTAGCAGTAGAAGAAGTCGTCCCGTGGTCATGGTCCTGGTAGTGGTGGTAGTGTCAGTGAAGGTAGAGGTAGCAGTGGTAGTAGTAGTAGCAGTAGTAGCAGTAGTAGCAGTAGTAATAGTAGTAGTAGTGGTAGTGGTAGTAGTAGTGGTAGTAGTAGTAGTAGTAGTAGTAGTAGTAGTGGTAGTGGTAGTAGTAGTAGTAGTAGTAGTAGCAGTAGTAGCAGTAGTAGTAGTAGTAGTAGTAGTGGTAGTGGTAGTAGTAGTGGTGGTAGTAGTAGTAGTAGTAGTAGTGGTAGTGGTAGTAGTAGTAGTAGTAGTAGCAGTAGTAGTAGTAGTAGTAGTGGTAGTAATTTGTAGGCTCATTAGCAGCAGTAGCAGTAGCAGTGGCAGTGTAGTAGTAATTAGTAGGCTCATTAGCAGCAGCAGCAGTAGCAGTGGCAGTGGCACAGTGGCACAGTGGCAGAGTGGCAGTGGCAGTGGCAGCGGCAGCGGCAGTGGCAGTGGCATGGCATTGGCAGTGGCAGTGGCTGGCAGTGGCAGTGGCAGTGGCAGTGGCAGTGGCAGCAGTAGTAGTGGTAGTAGTTGCAGTGGTTAGTCGCTAGTGGTAGTGGTAGCGGTGTCTTTCGAGCAGCAGTAGTACTCGTGATGGTGGTGGTCGTGGTCTTGGTCGTGGTGGTAGTGGTAGTGGTCACAGTGGTAGTAGCTCCGCAGTCGTGGCAGTCCTTGTAGGGATATAGTGCCACCAGTGATCTGCTCATTGATTGGCACATGGGCGTCGTGGGCACCTACGTATCACGTGACGGTTCCGTATTCCCGCGTGAGCCTGAAAAGAAGAGCCCGGTGCAGAGTGAAAGGATCTGATCAAGAAGTTCATCCGTACCTACGAGTGCGAGATGTGCAACGACGGTAAGTACGGAAAGCTCAAGCTCCTGGGCCTCGACAGCTTTGACATGGTTCGCCTTTGTGACGTGTGACAACTGTTCGTTTGCAGCAACAACACGCGCGACGGCAACCCTCGTGTTGCTATCATCCTGCTGTTTCCCTGATTTGTTGTCGGTCTGCATCAGTCCAAAACTCGAGCTTCTCCTTCCGTTCGATTCCCCTGTCTGGCCTTTTCCGATTGCATCGGCGTTGATTTTGCTGCTGCCAGAGTATGCCCATGAATGGCACCACGAAATAGTTAGCGATTTGTAGTCTACTGCTGTGGCTGCTGTGAAGACTTTATGAATCTTGGTCGTGGTCCCTGAACGTGGTGATTATTATGTCATGCTGATGGTGTTTGTGTGGCGGTGGTGATGTCGACAACGGTGATGGTGTTGGTGTCATGGATATGATGATGGTGATGGTGATGGTGATGATGATGATGATGTTGATCCTGGTAAGGGTTCTGCAGATGATGAGGGATGACACTGATGATGAGGACGATGGTAATGATGATGAGCACATCCTTGTTGTTGTTGTTGTTGTTGCTGCTACTGGTGGTGGTGGCGGCAGTGACGTTGGGGCTGGGATTGGTGCTGGTTGTCGGTTGTTGCTGTTGTTGCTTGCTGATCGTTGTTGCGGCGGGGCATGGTGGTGCCGGGTGGTGGGCATGTGCATGATGCGGATAGTGATAGTGGGCCTGACCGCAGCATGATACTGTTACTTGAGATGTTGCCGCACACAACTTGCTGAGGTACATGGCTTTGTTGCAGAAGGCAGTGAACAACCAAGTGGACATGATCACCATTGAGCTGGATGATGTGGAGATGTTCTGCAAGAAGGATCCCGGCTTCCTCGTTGCATTCGTGAGCTTAGGATGCCTCTGAAGCCTCAAGCGGCCCAATCCGCTGAATCCAGTGCGTGAGTGCAGCTACAGAGCAAGGTCTGTGCTGACTGTGAACCTTCCCTGCTTGGCCTATCTCCAATCTCACCGTCAAGCCCTGACCAGCCCCCATATGAAGCGCCTACCGGCCTACCCAAACCGTGAGGTCGCAGATACTCGGCCCGCAACATGCTAAGCTTCAGTAAGCCGCCTCCCGCAGCCCAATTCAGAGCAGGAGGCGCTGGCACCAGATTCAGACATGGGCGATTCGTGCGAGCCTTACTCTCAGGAGCACGAAGCTCTAATCCATATCGAGGCCCTTAATTGCACGCTTTTTCCACCATCGAGCAGTCAACGAAACATGTGAAAGTAAGCTATGGGGGATGCAGTTGGAGCTTGAATCGTCGCTTGAACCCCCGAGACCTGAAGCCGCAGCCCGTGCCTCAATGCCAATGCCGTGAACACCGGAGTCGCCCTCCCAAAGCCCAAATGCCAAAACATCACTCCGCCGAAGCATGCCTCAGCCGGAATTCTAAAAACAAAGAACCAAACCCTGCAAGGGTACATACACATATATGTGTGTATATATATATATATATATATAGATGTATGTATATATATATATGTTTATATATATATATATATATGTTAATATATATATATATATATGTGAGAATTCTGCTGAGCCCGTCCCGAAGCCAGCCTGCCGGGACTTCGGGGCTCAGGCTTTAGGGCTCCAGACCCTCTTCTAAGCATTAAGGCCTCTATAAATCAAACCCTAAACTCAACTCATGAACACCCTTCCAGGCGCGCACAGCTTCTTCAGTCCATCGAGCAGCTCGTGGGGGCCATCGAGCTCCATGTGCCACGCTACCAGCCGCTGGGTCGGGTTATGGTTATTATCATTATTAGTGTTATTCGCAGTAATTTTATTGTTTTATGTTGTTGTTTAATGTTGCTATGTGTGCTCACAGGTGGTGAGTATCGAGTTGCAGTAACTTGAGTTTGTAGGGGTTTGGCCTGGCTTGGGGGAGTCTTCCGTGCTTCAAGCCAAACGGGTTTGAAAGCGCGTTTGGGTTTGAGCCCTGCAGCCGTGAGGAGTCCGCAACGTTGCAGCACCTCAACCGTAGCAAACCCAATGCCGCGAAGCCATGATTTGTAACATACACACAGGCTTCTGCACCTATGCCCTATGCCCTCGCTAGAAAACCCATGGATCTGCACACCCTCGCGTATTAGCTTCTTCTGGAGCGAACCTTTGATTCGGTTTTAGCACGTCAGGATTTCGGATCTTTCGCATGGGAATGTTGTTACAAAGCGTGGCAGACGATAAAGGGCACATATCAGCTGTGCACGAACAGCCGTCGTCTTCTGGCATTAGGACTCCCCGAAGGTCGCTGAGTGCTCTACATCCCCAAAGTAGCGACAGTGTACCTATGATCCCAAGATCCAAATCCCCGCAGGCCACACACCGCCTTCCTTTCGGTTTCGGGGGGCGTCCGCGGTCCCTATACAGCTTCAGACTACGTACAATTCCGGCATGATTAATGAATGCGGTCTGGCCTTTCTGTAAAAGTGGTTCCCGCCACTGTTCGAGCTTTCAGTTCTTTGTCTCAACATGGAGGAATAAGCACCAACACCGTAGTTCCCCAAAGAAGTTGAACACAAGTGTGAGTTCTGTGCAGTCTTCCTCGGTATATACAGACGTAAAGCAGGGGCTTCTTCTACGAGATCTGCGACATCGAGCAGCCGGCGCGAGACGAGAACTACACTGACGAGGCATCAGCCACGAGGGTGAGGAACGCCGTCCAAGACTGGCGCGAGCGCTTGAATGCGAAGGAGCTCGGGGATGTTCGGGTCGGAGCTTTCTGGGGTCTGAGAGTGGCACTGGGTTCCCCAGCTTCCAAAGCCTCGACAGGACGCCGCAGGGGGTCTCGACAAGGCCATGGGAGTGCCTGCAAAGCTGAAGAACCCATGGAGTGTTCGCTTCAAGCCGCGCAGCTCCGCCTCTTCCATGAGCATGTGCCGAGGTTGGAATGAGGTATTCTTTTGGTGTTATAGTAAAGGGCCGCGCCTATTGCCACTCGAAATAAGATCTAAGCCCCCCCTGCAGAAGTGCAGAGCCTTAGGAAGTGCCCGCTGAGTCGCTAAGTGCCCCAACCGCCCAAGGCGTCAGATCCGGGGCGACTCGGTGGGACAGTTGGTACAGCTGGACTGCCTGGTGGTCAGCGTACAACAGGCTCGATTTTGAGGGCTTCAAGCGCTTTGTTTGGGTTTAGGGTGTAGGGTTTATAAGGTTAAGTTTAGGCTTTGTTTGGACGATTGTTGTTCCTATAGGGTTAGGAGTTGAGGGGCTTGGGTGTGGAGGTTTAAGCAAACAAGGTCTCGACTTGATTTGAGGCTTTGGAACCTCAGACTCGATTCTCCCTAAATGTACCGCTTTGGTGTTGGATCCTTCGGGTGCATTAGGGCTTAAGCTTGGGATCTATAGAGTCTATGGAGTGTAAGAGCCTGATAAGGTCTGCCGAAAGCCCTCACGCCAAAATCCGTTCCCGCAGGTGAAGCCCAAGGTGCAGATCGTCACATACCATTGTGAGACTTGCGGCTGTGAAGTCTTCCAATCCGTCGAGGCAGACACCTATACGCCTCCGAAGGAGAAGGGAAAGGGGAGAAGGGAGAAGGGAGAGTTGATGGAGGAATGCCTGTAGGAAACCGAAGAACATGCCAGGAGAACACGGAAGGGGGAAGGCTTGGTCTTGTTTGTCCTTCGGGTTCCCCGTCGGTAAAGTCTTGAAGTATTGAAGTTCCTCTATGGGGGGGCCACTTGCAAAAAACCCTAGCCCAACTCCACCTCAATAATATTTATATGACCTCTTGCAGGAGTGCCCTTCGACAAAGTGCAAAGAGAACAAGCAGCCTCTCAACACTTGAATTTGCAAGCCTTCTTCTTTTTTCTGTCTATACTGAAGGTTAAGATTGTAAGCGGTGCGAAGAACTGATTGCTGTTGATTGGTGTGCATTTCCTGCCTTGTGGGTTAGGGAACAAAAAGGTCCGGCAACTTGCACCGCATGGTACGTTCCTGCGCCTTCACCCGCCACGAAGAGGCCGGATTTGGAGCTTATAGTATACAGTATAAAAACTGGTTTTGCGTTTGCAAGAACCTTTGGGGGGCTGCAGCTCCGAAGCTTCTGAGAACAGAGACTCCCAATCTGGCAAATGTGCAGTCAAGTCTTAAGAAGAGCCCACGATTGTGCCTGTGACTGCAGCAATCTTGCACGGGTGATTCTTTTGTTCACAAAAAGCCTTCCAAGAATTCAGAATCGCATCTAAACGACGCCGTTACCACGATAGCCACCAAAGCAGCAGCATCGTCATCATCACCATCAACACACCATTTTTTCATCTGTTTGTCTTGAGGATCGGGAAAAGGTGGTGTCCTCCAGTTTCGGTGGCTGCAGACACTGGATGCTTGATTGTGTGCTCACAGGTCGATGGGTAGGCAAAGCTTGGCTTCTGCTATTTTCAAGTATATGCTCATTCTGCGACCACTTACATGTTCGCTTTGAACTGAACCCCAGTCAAATCTGAACCGAGACCTCGGACGTCCTAAATCGTCAGCCCCCGCTTCCAACCCGACATTTCGCTGAGATGGCTGTCAAGAAAGAGCGAACACTGAGACTCCAACTTTTTTCGGATCCGGTCTCCGAGTCCATGTAGCGCGCGATGGCAGGGAGTCTTCGTGTTTGGTTGGTTTCTGGACAAGAGCTCGGCGCGATTCCGGTGGAAAGCTTGACCAATGTGCTGGATCTAAAGAGGCATTTACAGGGCCTCTGTGGGTTCCCACGATTCAGGCAAAGGCTCCTACACGAGCATGTGACTTTGGAGGATGAGGTCCTGCTGGACTCGGCGCTGGATCTCCTTCTCGTACTGCTCCCTTTTCGCAACGTAAAGCCCGGTCAGGGCTCAAGAGATTTGTGGCGCGCGACTTGCCATGGTGATGTGGCCTGTGTTGAGCGGATTCTTCAACAGCCTCAAGATCCGGACGGCTTTGATCACCAAGGCAAGACCCCGCTTTTAGGGGCCTGCGCAAATGATCTTGCAGAAGTTGTTGGCTTGCTCTTAGAGGCCGGAGCAGATCGGAACAGGGCTGCGACAGTCAGAGCGAATGGAACAGTACTTCGCCGCATAACTCCTCTTGGTGTAGCAGCCCACGAAGGTCACATGGAGATCGCCCAGCTTCTGTTGCAAGCTGGTGCTGATCCTGATAAGGCTGCACTTGGTGGCACCACACCTTTGCACATGGCATGTAACAACGGTCACTTGGAGGTTGCACGGTTGTTGTTAGAGGCAGGTGCAGACAAAGACAAAGCTGTATCTGATACGACATCTCTGGGCATGGCATCTCGTGGGGGTCACTTGGCCATCGTACGCCTTCTGTTGGAGGCCAAAGCTGACAAAGACAAGGTCGGCAGGCCAGAAGGTATGACTCCGATTTGGCTGGCCTCGCGTGAAGGCCAAGCTGAAATTGTGCAGATGCTGCTGCTAGGCGGTGCCGACAAGAGCAAGGTTTGTGGACCTCTGCATGCAGCGCCACTCTGGGTGGCTTGTCGTCAAGGCCACCTCGAAATCGCACGTTTGCTCGTGGAAGCCGGCGCTGTCAAAGACCAGGCTGCTTCTGATGGCACCACACCCGCTGAGATAGGGCGTCGCAACGGTTACCCCACAATTGCAAAGCTTTTGTGGACGGGCGAGCTGGCCACTGGGTGAGATTCCACTGGCTTCTGCAAGATTCATCTCCGACGTTGCAGAGCAAGCGAAAATTAAAAGTTTTGACTTGCAGAATTACCCCATCGCTGTGGTGGTGAGGTCACCCTCAACCGTATAAAGCACCTTGAGCTCAATTTCTTGAACCTTCAACTCTCCCACATCCCATTGCTATCATGGCAAGCATCCCCCAAGCTGAAGTATGCGGGCAGTCTCAAGCAAGGGGTTGAAGTGGAGGGTCCCGGCTTCATTCCGATGGCATTACCATTACTGCCATTGTTTTGATTGGGTTAGCTTCTGCTGTTGATGATGGTAGCGTCATGGAGCCGTCGTGCCAGTGGTGACCTGTAGTATCTGGAGATAAGTACAGTAGTGTCGTCGTCATCGTCGACGCCGTCGTGGTGGTGCTGCTGCTGGTGGTGGTAAATGTAGTCGTCGTCCTAGTAGCAGCAGCAGTCAGCATTAGTAGCAGTAGTAGTAGTAGTAGTAGCAGCAGTAGTCGTCGGAGTAGTCGTGGTGGTGGTGGTGGTGGTGGTGGTGGTGGTGGTGGTGGTGGTGGTGGGTAGCAGCAGCAGCAGCAGCAGCAATAGCAGTGGCTTTTGCTTGGATTTGAATCGGTGTGCTGTTGATAAACTTAATGCCCAGTCCTCTGTTCTGAGCGCCCGGCAAAGAAGCATGCTCCTACCTCGGTCGAGCGGTCGAAGCCCAAAGCAGAAGCCAATATCACGGCGTTCCCAAAGGTGAAAGTTCAAGAGCTGGCAGAGCATGTGCCGGCGGGCGGAATACCCAGGACAATGACTGCGCCTCTGATAAAGCATCATGTAACAACTTGCTTAGTTGTATGAGGTAATTCACGTACGCTGCTTGGGTTAGTGAATGTTCGTTTCCAGTGAAGCCGGGGTTCGAGGTTGTGACAACGATTGCGGTGACATCATCGTTTGGGTGTTTGGTGCTGACACTTACATTGATCTCGATATGTTTGTCGGTGAGTAATTCTTGCTGCTAGAGTTTTGTTGCTGCTGCGCAGCTTGATCCTTTGCGTGCTGTGAAAACGACTGCAAGCCCCTTGCCGCCAGCCTTGCAGCGTTTCTGGTTTCGCCTGTATTACAACAACACGTCTACTTCGGCAATGGTCAATGGAATTTTAGGTCTGAAATCTTTGGATGCCGAGGGGCTTTGCTTGTTCCGGGCCGGTTGAGACTTCAGGGGTGCAATTTATCACTGCAGCATAGCCAGGCGCAGTGAGCAATAGTGATGTGGGTAGTGGCAAGCGTGTAACCAGTGAGCAACTTAGTACTCCTCCCACTTATGGAAGTACAAAACCGAATGTACTCTCCCTACTTCTGGTGCTCACATGTGACTGTGACCCCACCATCTTCACAAGTATTTGTACTTGGTGGGAGCAGTCTGGCCTCGCCAAGCAAAGTCTTCCCATTCTTCGGAAAAGGGGTCCAGAGGATCCAAAAAGTAGATCCCTTAGAAAGGGTTCCTATAAAGTACCCTTGGTAGTATAGGGCCCCAAATAAGGGGGTCTGGCTTTGCGGTGTCATGGAACTCCCGACTTTCAACCCCAGCCCGAGCCTGGCCACCCGAAGCAAAGACGTGAGCGAGGTGCAGGCGGAAGGCGACCTCACCCGCATGGCTCCCTGCTTTGACGACTATGGTTTAAGTTTTTCCAAGTTTCACACCCAGCATGTCGCAGATGACAATTTGAGCCGAAGTTTCCCGAACACTCTTGGCCTCTGGGTAGTCAGGATTCCAGTCTGAGGAGCCAAAACCCGAGTATTTGGACTGACTTAAGTATCCGAGCTGCTCAGGAAAGGCTCAGCCTCTAGGCAGGCCCTGTCGTGATCACAGTTAGAGATGACTGGAGTCCGAGTTGACGCTGAGCAGGCCATGGCAAGATCGAACAGTATTGTCTCGCCAAGATCTCACGGCCTGAAACGCCTTATTCGGACCGAGCAGATAGAGGGTAACATCGAAACCCACCTCTGTGTTGTTGGGGGCTTCTTTAGCAACTGCAAGACCTTAAAGCCCAAAACCCAAGCCCCAGGTAAAGCCGGGCCAGTCCATCACTCTGACGGGTGTCTTCTTTCCCCAAGATCTCCCCTACGTGATGAGGATGAGGCGGGAATGTCCTATATATACTGCCTATAAACAATAGGCTACGGGTTCGGGGAATGAAATCTCGAAGGAGTTGCGGGTCATTCCACCTTCGCTTGGGGTTCCCAGAACAGCAGTTTAGAAAACATGTTTGTTCGACCGTCGGCCAGGTGTTGCTTGAAGAGGCTTCTGTGCGTAGTCAGCTCCTCTTCCCCGTTCTTCTACCTGCTTACCTGTCGCTTACGACCCTGCATGTGTTTCTCGGTTGAAGACATGGAAGATTATCCGCCACGGTAGCGCGGCGATCCCGGGCAACCCAGCACAGAGCCCGCTTGATTGAAGGTGCATACCTGCGAAGCCTCGCCTGGAGAGTCCCAGAGTGCTGGTAAACGAAAGCCCTACGCTCTGAATACGAAGCCCGAGCACTGGGTCAGAAGCCATCGCTGAAAGCTTGAAACTGGTGCTCGAGAGAGCTGTGCTGTGGGTTGGGGCGAGGCAGCAGAGCACGCAAAAGATGTTCCGCGGCTGCAATTTTACCACAGAGGCTCGTCTTGTGAAGCTCCGCCGATGGCCCCTGAAATCGATGTCTGAGCTTGTGACTTGCTCAAAGAAGCCCAGACGTTGGCCATGCGGCACCGTTCTCTCTTCTTGAGCCGGCTTTTGACATGAAGGAGTTCTTGACAGTGGGACCCTAGGAGTTCGCGTTCCTGGCATTCTTGTTGACAGCTTTCTTCATTCTGAAAGAGATGCTAGCTGCTAAAGGCTTGTCGATGAATCAAACACAAGTACCACAAGGATAGATATAAGTACAATGCATGTTGAAGTATCCGTTTCCTGCCATCATTTATTTTGTCTCGGGGACCGCTTGCCGTTCTCCCGAGATGGTCCTACAGGACTTCAAGCTACCACGACACCGCAGCGAACAACCCAGGTTCATCGAAGCACATCATTTCCAGAAGCACAAGAGTGGCTACAGCGAGACCGTCGCTGACGAGGTGCTTGGGCTGGGTCTTTTGAGTTCCTTGATGAATTCCAAGGGCTTTCGCTTGTCAGCACCGCAGCCATTGACCCTCCACATGTGCTCGTGCCTGTAAAAACCTTCGATGCAATTAGGGGCTTGCCGAGGCTTCCTCAACCTTTGGGCTTGAAAAGACTTTCAGGCCCATGCTTCAGTTTCAGTGTCTATGATCAGAGTGTAGACCATGGCTTAAGCCCAAGGCCGAATCGTGCATAACATAGCAAATATTTGTGCAGACAAAGCGCTGCCAAAGAAGGTGCCCCACTATCCAACACCCCGAGCTTCAGATGATGCTCTCTGAACCCGAAAATTCCTAAAGCTGTAACAATACATAGGGCCCCCTATGAGTGCAAAGATTCTTTAGGGTTTGCAGGATATCGGGTTGCAGGGTTTGTTGATACGGGTGTGATCGACTCGAGTCCGTGTTTGTTTAGAGGTTTAGGCTACTCGTAGCCCCAAAGCTCATATTGTAAGCTGGCCAAATCCCGAAGCTTGTCTTGGCGACCAAGACACTGAACGCAAAGCCCGCATCACAGCCACCACTTCTATGCCCAATGTGACAGCCTTTGGTTGCTAACCCGCAGTTCCGGGTTTGCATTCGGTTGCATTGTCACCGTGCTTTCCGGCTAGTAGGATGCACGGCATCTTGTTTTTGTTAGCATTCTGAGGCCAGGAGCAATTCTCTCCATAGATGTGAGTGTTGATTTAGTTGATAACCCACGAATTTCCGAATGGACACGGTCACCTAGTAGCTCCCAAAGCCTGATTTCGAACAGTGGGGTGGTATTGTGGGCTGCTGGTGAACTCTAGAAAACCGAGTGCCGTAGAACTTCCCGCAACAGGGCGCGTTGGAGAACAAGATCGCAGAGGCGAAGAAGCGTGGAAGCCTCTACGAGGCAGCTCGGCAAGACGAATACCCCACAGACGCGCACACACACACACACACACATACTCGAACCCAACAGCCAAGAATCACGAAGAGTTTTGACACAAACACCGGTAGTTCCAGACCTGCTTCTGGGCGTAAACTCGGGACTTGGAGTTGAGCATATGCCCTTTTTCATTTCATGACCTACCAATAAGAACCAAATTGCTGCCAATATCTTCGGGTTCGCGGACTGCATTTCCCGATGCTGAAAGCCCTTCAATGTAACTGTATCTTCTGCCCTGCACTAGTTGTTTTGGATGCACGGTTCCGCAACTTGTGATGAGGCCGCATCGAAGTCGATTGCTCCGGAGATCTTTGGCCACCAGGACCTTCATCTCGTTGCAGAGCCAGCTTTCAGCAGGGCCCCGGTGTTGTCACAGCAGGGCCCCGGTGTTGTCAGGTTGAAGGTGGCATCACCTGTGGTTTGACGACACATTTTGATCGCTCATGCTCACGGTTTGTAGGGACCTGTCGTAAGCCTGGCAGAACTGAAGGCCATGACAGCCGCCTCATGGGTCTAGGAACCGACCGCTGATCGTGTTGTTTGACTTATGTTGGGCTCTTAAGCACTGCACCCTAAGGGAATGAAATAGAATACTTACATGCTCACATATATATATATATATAATGACAAGTTGCATTTAGGGCCGATAGTCTGGTCTAGCGGAGTAGTTTCTTGTCTTTCAGCGGCTCCGAGACAACCTTGAATTCCTTTGTCCAAGCAGAAGCTCATGCATGAGCCGTCCGGGACGCCACAACATAAACGCCCCTTCTGGAGGACACATAATGGAACTACCCGGCTACCCCTCGCAGCTTTGACGCTTCATTTCTCCTGCTCTCAGGATCTGAAGAAGGCACTTCTGTTGGTCTTGATCGGCGCGCCTACCAAGCAGATGAAGGACCTGCCAAGAGTGGTTCGGGCCCCGAATGATAGGGAGCGAGCCCAATGATGGGTTCAGCCTAGGCCTAGATGTGAAGCAGCAACCCCTGCTTTCCAAGAAATGGAAACGTCGTAACTGTCGTCGTGTTTCGTCTGAATATCATGCCTGCAAAGTGCCAACAGTGGTCAAGTGCCACGGGACTCGGGACGTCTGGAGCTTCCAACTTGATGTGGGGTCGCGAATCAGCAATTACAGTCAAGGGATACTCGTAATTGCCAGCATTGACTCATCAATGCGCAGGAAGCCACCTACATGATGGATTGGGCAAACGGATTCAAGAACGGTGGCGCTGGCCAGTGCCGGAGAGAGTGTTCTAAAGGGGGGCGAATTTATCGAAACGGCACGTTTACAAAACAGGAGCAAACCGCTCAGAAGAGACGTGGAATCTTGACGAAGATCTGCACAGCGAGGGACAACCAGTCGAAAACAGAGTAGACACTTTGAGAAACAGGAGCTAAGGGCTCGAGAGAAACTAGGATCAAACCGCTTGAAAGAGAGTGCAGAATTTGACAGCGGGGAGAATTTGGGAAGGGGGAGCAAACCAGTCAAGAAGTGATTCCAAGGCAAAAATCGCGCCAAAGAGACCCATCGAAAGGTACAGCGAAATTGCAGAACAGCCGCAAACAGCTCGAAATCGATTGGGGAACATGGCGAAAGCAGAGTTTGAGAACGAGGTGCAAAACAAGTTAAAGGTCGCTGAACACTTTGAGCAAAAAAGGCGCAACTTCTTTGACAGAGACTTGAGATTTTTGTGTTTCCCTTAATTTGGGACAGGCGGGAACGGCCAACGCAGGGATTTTCTACTCTCGCCTGCCATTGCCTCCTGTTGTTTGTGGCCAATGCAGACGCTTGCATCCCCTTGTCCTTTGATTTGGGACGGTTGGGGGTTAGAGTTCTTGCCAGCATGACAGCGGATGTCGACGTTTCGAACTGTGGGGGGGTGACTAATGCCGGTGCTTTCGACGTTTGTGTACCGTTGTCATAGATGGATGGTGGGATGGATGCATGCATGGTGCATGCCAACGTGGAGGATGGTCTCAAAATCCGTGGGGACATCCACACCCTGATGATGGGCGATCCCGGAGTGGCCAAGAGCCAGCTGCTGAAGCAGGCACTCCTTCGCAAGTGTCAGGGTCTTGTCTCTTTTATGAGTTTAGGATTAACGGTTTAGGGCTCCTCTAGGACTTCGAGCCTTTCCACTTCTTCGGCGACCCGCTTTGGGTTTGACTGCATGGCTTGTCCAGCACCCCCTCACCGTTTGCGAAAGTAGCAAAGCTTTGCTATAACGGACATGCCTTCCAGGATACAATCTCAAGCAACATTCTCCTCTGCGCCTGAAAGTTGTGAACTCAGCCCGCAAGCCTGCAGGATCAAGACACGGTTCGGGCTTGCGAGATCTGGCAAAGCATACGGTTGCTTTTCAACTCCTTTCCTGATCTTAGTGTGAGTATAAGGTATTCAATGACTTTGTTCTCTTTGTTTCTCTTCCACGATTGCTACACGAACGCCAGATGTCAACGGCTGGCGACGGCCGGCATATCCTACATCCGATGGCTGTCGAAGCCAACACCCCAGACCTGGGTGATAATTACCTTGAATCGAAGGTCCTCCCCTACTCATGTCTAGGGGCAAAACTATTCAGAAAGTTGCGAAGGTAATCTGGCAAGGTATCAGATAGATGCAGTTATACATTCAGCAAGAGACCGTGACTCAACCCTGCGCCCTAAGTCTGCCTTTCAAGCGTTACGCTCTGTGCCGTGCAGCCCCTGCAGCAGCACGGCGTCACATTTTTTCTCCTATCTGACTCCCCGCACAGCTTTTACAGGTGGGTGTGTGGGTCTATCTGAAAGGTCAGGGCAGGTGAATTGCCTAGCACGGCAGGAGGAAAACACGTAGACGACGTTCTGACCCCTCAGAGATTGCAGGTAACTTACATTGCCCCGCGCTCCGTGTACACCTCCGGGAAGGGCTCGAGCTCGGCGGGTCTTACCGCCAGCGTGAACCGCGACAACTCCACCGGCGACGTCACACTCGAAGGCGGTGCATTGGTGATGGCTGACTGCGGGGTTTGCTGCATCTTGGCTTTGGTGATTCCGGAGAGCGAGAGCCGGCAAGGTTGTGGAGTGAAACCTCCGACTGACCAAGGCATCGATGAGTTCGACAAGATGGACGAAACTTGGGTGAGAATGGCCAAGACAGGCAATTGCCGGTTTTTCGTTGCAGGTGTAACGAACAAGATAAGACCACCAAGGAGAAGGACAGAACGGCGATTCATGAGGTCATGGAGCAGCAGACCATCAGTATCGCAAAGGCAGGCGTTACGACCACTCTCAACTGTCGAACGACAGTATTGGCTGCAGCCAACCCCGTCTACGGGCGCTACAACCCGTACAAGTCTCCCGTGGAGAACATCGACCTCCCCGCAGCCCTCCTCTCACGATTTGACCTCGCTTCTGAGCTGCTGCAGTAGGTTTTGCGGTTTGGTTCAGGCCAACTCACATACGTGTAGAAGCATGGGCGGGTCCTTTCCCATCATCCCAATACCATTACCGCAGGCGTCGCAGGCACCCCAAAAACTTGTTCAGGGACCTGTATCCGGAATCCGGAAAGTCGGCCAGCTCAAGTCTTGCAGAGGTCTTCTTGTTGCTGGATACCGTGGACGGCGACAGGGACAAGCAGCTTTCCAAGCACGTCGCAGACGTCCGCAGCAAGTACCAAAAGCAGGAGCTTCTGCGGTTTAGGGCTAAATCTGGTTTTGGATGAGCTGTTCTGGATCATGAGCAGTGTGATTCACCCGCAAGCCCGAATCATTCTCTTCAGCCTCCAAGATGTAGCTAGAACTCCGCCATACCCGTCTTCCTACATTTACTTTGGCAGGCTTTGGTTATTGGTGACATCGGCATGGTTTTTGGAAACAGATGTTGCAATGAGGTCATGCGCAACAATCGGCAGGATAGGCAATGCTGGGAGTGATCGTTGATAAGGAGCTCTGGCTGTACCCAGCGGAAGAGACTGAACCTGCAAAGCCGCAACAAACAATGTATAACAAGCACCCTACGAAAGATTGCCCATCTGAAACAGCATGGAGCTGGCACTGGAAGTCAACCCAACTACCCCGATTCCATGAGCAATTACAGGTGCATGCGCAGGTCACCAGTGTCTGTATCCATGCGAAAGGAACAACATACCACAATATCGCCGGCTGCGTTCCGCGTAGCCGCGTGTCGAGAGAGTCGGCTCTCTCGCTGTACAAGGGGCACAAAGCACCCTTGGCCCGATTAAGTCTGCAAAGCGAGGAGGCCGACGACAATCCCAATGCTGATGCCGACGATGTTCTCAATCTTGGGTTCAAGCCTTTCGATTCTTAGATGAACTGCTGCTACTAGTATTACGACGGCGACTACTATGGCTACAATCATACTGTTATACTACTACTACTACTACTACTACTACGACTTCTTCTTCTTCTGCTACTCTACCACTACTGCTGCTACTACTACTACTACTGCTGCTACAACTACAACAACAACAACAACTACTACTACTACAACTACTACCACTACTACTACTACTACTACTACTACTACTACTACTACTACCTCTACTACTGTACTACTACTACTACTACTACTACTACTACTACTACTACTACTACTACTACTACTATTACTACTATTACTACTACTACTACTACTACTACTACTACTACTACTACTACTACTACTACTACTACTACTACTACTACTACTACTACTACTACTACTGTTTTTACAGCGACTGATACATGGCCACTGATGATCGCGATGCGCCGGTCTGGTTTCAAACCTTTGCCGCAGGGCGGCTGATGCTTGTATCGCTTGTGCTCCCGGCCTTTAAATTTCAAGAAAAAGGGAGTTGGCAGCTGATGCTTGTACTGCTTGCGAAAGGGATATGGCAGCTGATGCTCATGATGCGCACGGTCTAGTTTAATACCTCTGCGACAGGGTGGCTGATGCTTGTAATGCTTGTGCGTCTGCGCTTCAATGCACAAGCGAAATGGCAACTCATGCTCATGATGCGCGCGGTCTGGTTTGATACCTCCGGGACGGGGCGGCTGATGCTTGTGTTGCTTATGCTCCTGGCGTCACGGTCCAAGGGAAACGGCAGCTGAGGCTCATGATGAGAACAAAGTAGCTGATGTTTGTTTTGCTGTATTGCTCATGGATCCTCATGATGCGCACGGTCTGATTTGATACCCCCGGCACAGGGCAGCTGATGCTCATGATGAGCACGGTTTGGTCTGATATCTCCGAGATGGGGCAGCTGATGCTTGTATTGCTCGTGCTCCTAACTTTCAGGGCGCATGGGAAATGGCAGCTGATGCTCATGATGCGAACGGTCTGGTTTGATGCCTCCGGGGCGGGGCGGCTGATGCTTGTATTGCTTGTGGCTTCTCTCCTCGGTTTGGTCTTTGTCTGGCGCGCCTGTCTTCATATCACAAGGCAACTGCGCATGATGCGCACGGTCCGGCTTGAAACCCTTGTGTCCTTGACCTTCACGGCACACGGGAAATGGCTGCAGCGACGACGACCACTGCTACTAGGACGACGACAATGGCGACAACGACAACGACGACTACTATTACCACTAACCACCTCTACAACTACCGCTACTTCTGCTATTGCGGCTGCTGCTGCTGCTGCTACTGCTATCACTGCCACTACTGTTCCTGATTTCGTTGATGTTTGGTTCGTGCTTCTTTAATTAAATCTCGCTCCTCTTTCGTTCATTGGTTTTTAACTAAGAAGGGCGAACCAAATTATTCATTTCGTAGTCCCCAACCAGGAAACAAGCCCTATCACCTAGATTCATGTGGTAGATTCCTTATGACCTCAATATAGATTGTAAATTCTGCAAAGGATGCGCTAAGTGTCCACATGGTCTGATGTCGTTCCTGAATTGGCGCGCTAAATTCAAGAACACAAGCGCTTCATTTTGTTTCACTACGACTACTACTGCCAATGCTACAACAACAGCAACAACAACAACTACTACTACTACTACTACTACGACTACTACTGCGACGACGACTACTACTGCTACTACGACTAATTATTGTTAGTCGTATTACTACTGCTACTACTACTACTACTACTACTACTGCTGCTGCTGCTGCTACTGCTACTGCTACTGCTACTGCTACTGCTACTGCTCCTGCTAGCTGGCAAAACATCTGCGCTATTTTGAACCGCTTGCTAATCTTGCCCATCTTGCAAATCTTGCAGCGCTTGCACCACGTGGACACTGCAAGATTAGCAAGATCGCCCCCTCTCCCCCCAAGTGGTTAAGTGGTGCAATCGGTTCTTGGGCAAGTTTGGTGTCAATCTCGTCCCCCACAAGATTGCAAGATTGACGCGTGCGTTCTTGCCGAGCATAGAAACTCTTGTCTCATCACACTCTACTACTACGACGACTACTACTATAGTACTAGTACTGCTGCTACGACTACAACCAGTACAACCAGTACTACCAGCACTACTACTGCTACTACTACTGCTGCTGCGACTACTGCTACGTGTATTTGTACAACGACTACAACGACGACTAGCTTATCTTCAGCATGATGTCCTGTCTGTCCTTGATCGTAGCTTAAACTGTTATCGTTCTGTCAGTATTCTCGAGTTAGTCGAGGGGTTTGGTGGTGGATTGCATGCGGTTTGTGACATTGGAACTTCGGGGTTCTAATGTGTTCATGGCAAGTTTGGAATGTCAGTGGCTGCCTTTCTGCCAGTCAGCCCATGACCTGCACTCTCTAGCAAAGATGCCACCACGAAATGCCACAGCGCTGAAACCTCCGAACATCTCCGCACCAAGCCCCAGACCCCAAAAGCCGGTCAAGGATCACAAGACCATGCGCGCATACATCAAGCCGCATGTCTGGACTGTGGTCTTTGAAGTTCCGGAGAGTGGGTGGCCTTAAGGGCTTACGATCCCCAACCCAACACCAGACTCATTCTGGGTCCAGGCTTCTACAGGCCTGATTGACTGTCGTGTAGCTTTCAGTTTTAGAGGTTGGATAGCGCTTTGGCTTCGAAACAGAACAGTCTATCCCAAAGCCAGCATGCACAATGCTGGTTATACAAGTCAAGAGCACCCAGAGCTCCGAACCCAGCACGAGAGCATCATGCGCTAGTCCATATCAAGAAAGGAGATGCAATAATCAGGGTGCAAGAGTTGAGCTGTGGTTTGCTTCCTTCGTTGCTGGAGTTTCGTACCCCCTTCCGTCCTTATCCGCCTACTTTCGGCAGTCTTGCCAGATAAGACGGCGCAACCCTGTGCTCCCAGTACAGAATTTCTGAGAGGATGGGTTGAGGAAAGATCGCGGGCTTAGGACCGCATGGGTTCCGGGCTGTAGGGTTTGACGAGCGTCACGTTTGATTAGGGCCAAGAAGCCTCGGGCTGCGTGCCGTGTTGCGGTCATTCTTGGTGCATCCAGCCGTTGTCAGCCAAGCTAGAGCAATCCTTACCTCCGTTGCGGTTTCTAAGTCGTCAGAGGAGGTCACCTGCCAGAGCAAACCTGAATCTCAGAGCTCCCAGAACCTTACGAACAACTTCGAGGAAGTCGAAAAACTTGAACGTTGTCTAAATGTACGCGGCCCCGAAAGTCCTTTGATTTCGTTCTCTTGTCCGCGAGCGTGGAACTTCAGGAAAGCGAAAAGCTTCGATCCGTTCTTGGACAAGACTCTGCTCACGGCGGCTCGGTTGCGTCTCGGGGGGCTTCTTTTGCCCAGGACGTCGAGTCTGCAGCTGATACACCCCAGGCTGCGAGAGCGAGAAAAAGAGATTGGGTCCGAGAGACCGGCTGAGACCCACTGGGACCGCGACGAGAGAAGTGAGGTTTGGCTAGCGTTTTTGGGGTGTGTTTGTTGGTCAGTCTTTGCTTTGGTTGATGCGGGGTCCTGGAGAGAAGGGCTGCAAAGCCCCATCAAGGTGCTTCTCGCCTCGCCGTATGAAGCGTGACTAAACCCAGCTCGTTTTCAAGCTAACACTCGAAGAAATCCCACGCTTGATCAGAACGTGGCGGAGGCAAAACCCGAACTACGTCACGCTGCTGGGGTTCATGATCACATTGTTCGGTCTTGATGCTTCATTCTCCAAGCCATCAACCATTTCATTCTAGCATGACGGCCATGGCGATGTAACCATCAGGTTTTATGCTTGTATCCAGCGGGGAACGGTTGCCCTTGACGTATACACGCTCTACATTCCCTTTCTTATTATCGCTTTCCGTTCAATCGCTCAGAGCCGCGGAACAGTCTCACGCCGACCACGTCCAAACTCAGCAACGGACGTGAGGGGGGGAAGGATAAGGAACCGATTGCGCGAATTCTTGCGGGGGCATCTTGCCACGGCGGGGGATCCCTAAGGCCTGCAGCAAGCAAGCAAGATTCGATCTTGGATCTTTGCAGTGTTGCAGGTACGCTCGAATCCCGAACGCCCCAACAGCTAAATCACAATTTTAAGACAAGCCTGCCCAGGGCGCATGTGCGAGTCGAAACCTAAACAACAGGAGCACGCCGAACGCAGCCCTGGACCGCTAAGAACGAAAGCTCTTCCTCTTCCTCCTCCTACTATCGCTACTACGGCAGTATATTACCACTACCATACCACCGCCAACGCCACTTCCATTGTCACATTCAGTACCATTACCGCTACCTTCACCACTACCACTACTGCTACTACTGAAATGCTGCTTCTGCACTGCTAATCCTGCTAGCGCTACTAGTGCACTACTGCCCTCCGCTACTCCTACTCACTAGTACCAGTACCAGTACTGGTACTATCGCTCTACGGCTACTGCTGCCGCCGCTGCTACTACTTCGGCCGCTAAGGGGTGTCGGGCCCTCTGAGAAAGAATGGCAGCGTTTTGACCCTTTAGCGCTCTGCGAGTTCAGAGAGCTTTATTACGTAGAACCTTTCTGTCACAGGCATTATGTCTAGGACTGGCAGACTTGGATGTGACCGTCCGTCTAGTTGTACCTTTAGGGTTTGAGCTTGGCTTTGATTTCTTGGTGGTGGTTCAGGTTTGGTTGCATCCCAAGTGTCACGGAACGGGGGAAGCTTATAGCCTGAAGCCTTGCTTGACCTGAGAATCGCCTCAAACCCTGAACCAACCTATGAGCCTCGAAGCTTTGCCTGTGCCCCAGGAAATGTGTGACGCGTATGTGTCGATCCGTCCCTCTGCCCGGAGTTGTCTGGCTTCACATGTTGCTTGTCGATGGATGTGCGTAACTATGCATACAAATCCGTCTAGGTTAGATAGCACTACAAACTCGAAATGTAGCGAAATCACGAGACAGAGACAGAATGAATTTTTGAACAAGAACAAGACCCGGTGCATACAGAAACAACAAAGATAAGCAATCAAGCGGATGAGCAACTAGATATGCAAACAGCTCAAGTGATATACGAACGGAAACAAACAAATCCTCCGCGCCGTTTCGTCCTCAACGAGCCCGTCATCGTAGCATCAGTGCCAGCAGGAGCCGGAGTAGGAGTTGCAGCAGCAGCAGCAGCAGTGGCAGTAGCAGCAGCACCAGTAGCGATAGCAGTTTCAGCCGCAGTCGAAGTAGGACCAGGACTTGGAGTAGGACTAAGTAGTAGCGGTAGTAGTAGTCGTCGCCGTAAGAGCACTAGCAGTAGCAGTGGCAGTTGCAATAGCCATATATGGCCTAGCCGGCCTAGCCATAGCCTAGCCGTAGCAATAGCTTTGGCAATGGCAATAGCAGCAGAGCAGGAGAAGGAGGATTAGTCGTAGTAGTAGTAGTAGTAGTAGTAGTGGTAGTGGTAGTAGCACCACCAGTAGAAGCAGCAGCAGCAGTAGCAGTCCAAGTAGCAGTAGCAGTAGGCGTGGTAGTAGCCGTCGGCGTAGTGGTAGTGGTAGTAGTCGTCGTAGCCGTAGCAGTAATAGCAGTAGTAGTAGTAGTAGTAGTCGTAGTCGTAGTAGTAGTAGCAGTAGTAGTAGAAGAAGTAGTAGTAGTAGTAGTAGTAGTAGTAGTAGTAGGAGCAGGAGCAGGAGCAGGAGCAGGAGCAGGAGCAGGAATAGTAGTGGTAATAGTAGTAGTTCGCTGTCTGGCACTAAGAGCCCAGATGCAAAAATATGTAGTAGTAGAAGCAGCAGCGGGAGGAGCAGTAGTAGCAGTAGTAGTAGTAGTGGTATAGCAGTAGTTGTTGCAGCAGTAGTAGTGGTAGTAGAAGTAGTAGCAGTAGTAGCAGCAGTAGTAGCACTTCTGGTGAGTGTGGTGGTAGTGGTGGTGGCAGTGGTAGTGGTAGTGGCAGTGGCAGTGGCAGTAGGGTGAGCGGTAGCAGTAGCCGCAGTAGTAGGAGTAGCAGTAGCAGCAGTAGTGACAGCACTAGTAGTCGTGACTTAGCAGTAGTCGTCGTCACAGTAGTTGTAGTCGCAGTTGCAGTGGTGGGGGTAGAGCCCGTCGTCGTCATAGTAGTAGTAATAGTAGTATCAGTAGCTTTGGCGGTAGTGGCCGAGTAGTAGTGACAAGTAGTTGAGCTGGGGGGAGAAGTCGGGGTAGTAGCAGGAGTAGTATGGTCGTCGGCGTCGTCATGCTAGTTTCTGTTTGCGGCCAGTAGTGTGCATACGTCGTGTCGATTGTCGCCTTCTTTACGTTGTCAACAGCGCTCTGTAACAGTTCGCATGAGTTAAGGCAGTACACTAACATGACCATCACCGTTTATCCTGATCATTGCGAAGATGATCCTGGAGCGCGTTGTTTCTGCCTCCTTGACACCTTCGAACCCCTTTCGACTGCTGTTGCGGCCTGCGCCAGGCGACGACGAGAAGCGCGACGGCCTAGAAGCCAAGAAGCTTTTCTCTGAAGTATTGGGCATAAGGCTTTGGGCTTGGAGTTTCGAGTGACATCCTCGTTCGACATGTGGTTTCTTTTGGCCCGAGCTTTGGGTTTGTGTGCTTCCGGCCGATGGGTGTTCGTGAATCCGGTGGAAGATGGTTGATGATCAGTCTGGTTTCCCTATTTATGCGTTCCAAGCTCAGGAAATCGTACACGACGCCACGTACCCTCCTGGCCATTGCAAGGCTTTCGCAGGCTTGGAGGGTGTGGAAACTGAAAAGGGCCTTCATCGGGTCGTTGAACCAGCCTCGCAGTTAAAGAACCCTGCCCCAACCCTCCCCTACAGTCTTGGCCCAGCACAAAATTAGCATCCGAAAGGCAGTAAGCTCGATCCCAGAATCCCCAGAGCACCATCTTTTGCAGTTATCTTAACTTAACGATGGTCTTGATATATTCACCACCTCATCGACACGAAAACGCCGGACCTTGGCTTAGTGCTCGCAGGCCCATGCCCGTGCCCGCTTCTCCGAGCGTGTGGAGACCTGGCAAAGATGATCTGAGTGAGCCCTACACCAGACACGAATCTAAGCCAGCACCCCAAACCAAACAGCACGGCACCGGAAGACTTAGTAGTGACCACCAGAGTTTACCGTTGTATGATTTGATTTTGGGGGCTTAGGCTCAAGCGACGGCGAAGAGCTTACATCCCTTCAAGCCTACATGTCTTGACAGCGGGAAGGATTGGCCCCGCTCGGTCGGTGACTTTGGATGTTAAGTTGGCGAGGCACGACACTAGCGGCACTGGGACCCCCGACTTCCACCGTGACCGCAGATTTCTGTGAGAGATAGGCATTCGTCAGGACAGGCCCAAGGTGCCAAGTTGGACACCTCCAGAGTCGAAGGCAACCAGACGAGAGGGCCTCAAGCATGAACACAGGAGCCGTGACTGCTAAGAACAATCCCTGCACGTGCGGGAAGAGTCAGAGTAAACCCCCAGACCACTCCAGGCCATGCACACATGCATGCTTGGCATGGGACATACCTGTCAAAACCTTTAAACTCATTCCAATCTCCAGCACTAATTCTCGGGACGAAACTTTGCAGGCTTTCGTACATGCACCCAAACCCCTGAACAAGCAAGCCACGCGAAGGAAAGGCAGGACTTCGAGGAGGCGATGCGCTTGATGAAAGCGTCGAAGGACAGCGCAAAGCCGTTGTTTAGTTTAGAAGATTGGGGGTTAGAGAAGGTTTCGTGCTGACCAGCACATCTGAGCATGTATACATGGACATGGTCTGATGCATGTCGCATGCCCCCTAAATCTGTTCCAACAGTCGTCGCCCAAAACATGAAGCTCTACATCGTTGGGACGGATGTATCGCAGCATCAACTCGTGGATTTGTGTTCGGGCTTCGTATACCCAATCTACACCACAAGTCCCCGGCGTAGCACCTGTGGCACTTGGACCTGGGCTGATCGTTTGCATTTGCACCTCCAGCAAAGCTCCGAAAACCTTCGGCAACCAGTGCCTCTACCTCTGTGGCCTTACCATCTAACACTCCTCAACCAAGAACCGCCAGCTGCCATGAATCAATCCCGAGCTGCTTCAGCCGCCGTCCAACTTGCTCTCTTGTATTTTTGTGCGACCTCGGATTGCGCCAGACGACCACAGAGCCTGTCCAGACCCGGTGGAACTGAACCAACAGGAAGGTTTTCTGCCGTCTTCTAGCATGACCTCACGCCTGGCCACGCCGTCCCCCGAAACTACAGGCGACACCCCTAACCCAGCTTGAACGTATTCAGCAGGAGAGCATTGAGCTCAGCATGCCGGCGAAGAGGGGCGAAAACCCCATGAACATCGTTTATGAGCCGCCCGTGTGCAGCGAAGTTGAGTGTAAACAGTGCAGGCAAAGGTGAAAAAGTTCAGCAGTTCAGGGCTTCGAAATTGGTGCTTACTGTTCTGGATGAAGCAGTTACTGCAACCAGGACTCCTTCAAGGGAATCTGATGTGTCACTGGCCACAGTCCTTGTGCTTCTTTCACTGAGCTATCCACCGATCTCCTCGTGGCAGAAACCTTGCCTTTCAGGCTGCCTCTCGTCTGGGAGCTTCCGAACAAACAAGATGATTATTGCTACTACTCTTACGAATACTATTGCTGGTACTACTACTGTTGATGACTATTACTACTATGTCTACCACCACCACCACCGCCACCACCGCCACCACCGCTACTTCTACAGCCACAGCTACAGCGCTAGTACTAGTACTGCTTCTACTTCTTCTTCTTCTACTACTACTACTACTACTAGCTACTACTACTACTACTACTACTACTACTACTACTACTACTACTCCTACTCCTAAATACTCCTGCTACTACTACTACTGCTGCTGCTACTACTACTACTCCTACTCCTAATTACTCCTGCGACTACTACTACTACTGCTGCTGCTGCTGCTGCTGCCACTGCCACTGCCACTGCCACTGCCACTGCTACTGCTACTGCTACTGCTACTACTACTACGACTACTACCAGTACCAGTACCAGTACCAGTACCAGTACCAGTATTACTACTACTACTACTACTACTACTACTACTACTACTGCTACTGCTACTGCTACTGCTACTGCTACTGCTACTGCTACGACGACGACTACGACGACTACTACGACGACGACGACTACTACTACTACTACTACTAGCACTACTACTCGTAGTCGCTGGGTAGTTGGCATAAACCACGATGCCCTAAACAACGCCAGCGTATGCGAGCATGTGTTTGTGCGCTGAGCATCATCGTGGACCTCTCGCGCCGGGATGCCGCCCGGAAGACGGACGGTTGGGTGGAGCTCGCGCACGTGGTTTCCATGGCCGGCCACAAGGCGCTGGAAGTATTCGACACCGGTAGAATGAGAGAATTTAAATGTTTGGATGGGGGTTCGTGGGGTTGCTCTAAAGCACGGGACCAGTTGAGTATCCGGGATACCGTGAGCGGAGCACATTCAGATCAGGGAGTTCTGCCGTTACGTAGGATGTGCCATGGCTTTCTGCCATGCCGTCGCTCTGCTTCCAGTTGGTGTGCCTCAAGACCGAGGCCTCCTAAACCTTAAGGCGAGGATGCGAGGAGGGGTGTTCGTCCGGTCGCAGCCTTTGTCGAGCTGAGGTTCGCCGCACTATAGCTGGTAGTTTCTGGTGGTCCATGTCAACTATAACTATCATTATCAGTCTCGTGATCCCTGTCCCTCAGCATTTCACGTGGGGAAGTGCAATTGGGCTTACATTCAAGAGCTTCCTGCTGCGCTTGGATATAATGCTGTTTGTCTTCAGCACAGTTGTGAGATCATTGTGGCCAGTTTTGGATCACTTGCTTGTCGTGGGGTGTACGCGTTGGCACGCTCGAATTCTTGACGCTTGCATTGACGGCTGTAACTTCAGGGGGCGTGGGGTCTTTCGAGCCTCGTCGGACTTCACATGACACCACATGCTAGGGGCAAGATGAGAAAGGGAACGCCCAACTTCCAGCAACTGCCGCCACATCTGCCCTACACGGGATAAGTTACAAGTCTGATCCAATGTCTAAGTTGAGACTTCTTGTCTGGACACAGGCTCTTCCGGAGGAGCTCGTATTGGAGGCTGTTAACACATGGTGCAGCCTCTCAGCCATGAACATGAATCCTGAGAAGACCATGATTCAGTTCGCGGTGCCTGAAGCTTAAAGCTTCGGTTCCTTGAATGTCCCGGTGTCTCCGCTGGCAGGAGCTGGTGTAGAGTTTCGAGTTTGATTTTTGTCTTAGTCGTTATGTTTGGGTGAGCTACGCCTCACCAGGGGGTATCATGCAAGGGGCCGGAGCAGCGGATCCTGCTCGGCCGGTCAGGCATGTTCTCGAATGATCTCGAATGTAATTTATGTCGATTTGCTATGTGTGGGAACCGAACCCAACACCTTACACGTTGCTTCCGGTCCGGTACCTTGTTGCCTAAGGTTTATTAAAGCTCCTGTTGCTGGAAACAGATCTGGGTTAGGCACTGGCAGAGCACTGGCGGCTACGGTATCGAGGATTGCCTTCCGGGTCTCCTTCCTGCCTGCCGTTAACTACACCCTGGCACTTCGACTCCGCTTTCTTGCTGCGCTACTTCTACACTTGCAAGACGAGAAAGTTGGCACAACTACGCCGCCATGTTGAGCTTTGGTTCAGTTATTTGTTGCCTCACTATAGTTTCGATGTTAATCAGTCCAGTTGTGACCTGTACCATATTTGATGTTGCCGTGCTTGATTTGTCCATTCGTTCTTGCCTGCAATATGTGTGTATACATGTTCATAACAAACACATATACCTATATTCTTGCACTCGCACACACACACACACACTCATACAAATATACATGTACACATACATACACACTTTCACATACGTCTTCACATATGTCTGTGAGGACGTTGGTTGGTTGATTGGTTGTTTGATTGTGGTAAACTTGCCGCATCAAGCATAAGTGTATCACACGGCCCCTTGCAAGATGTAGTGGGATCATTCCGCAGCCACAGCCAAAGCTGGAGCTTTGCGGTCAGTGGGGGGCACCACTGCCAGCATACACCAGCCGGCTCGACAAGGTTTAGGATCCGTGGGGCTCAATTGGAACATAATTTTTCAGGGATGGAAGTGCAGGCTCGCGGGGTGTGCTGACAATTTGCGCCACGGCAGGTGTGAGCACCTGTCGCCAACAGTACGCATCAGTCCTTTGTTTTTTCTCGATCGCGGTCGGCGAGAGCAAACAAGGGGTCAGAAGCGCAGGCTTGAGGCGGAACTAAAGAGGCTGCCGACAATCGACAAGGTGCAGCTATGTCGTATTCGCGATATCGAGGTCGAAGTCCGACCCCCCAACTCCCAGCTTTCGAACCTTGTTGAAGTCGAAGCAGTTACGTAGCTATACATAGACAACTTATCACAAGTAATCGGCGTCGTGCCCGCAGACAGTTCAAAGCACACAAGCCTTCTGCAACAAGGTCCGTGGAACCTACTGCTCTGGTTTGACCATGGCGACTTTGTTACGATTTCTAATGGGGGCTCTTGAAATGCAGCAGGTGGGCTGTAGCAGTCCTGCGCCAAATGAACTTGCAGGCCTAAGCTCATTTGTCATGGATAAGTTGCAACTGGGGCGGAAACGATGTTTTGCAACCCAACTTTCGTGTTTGAAACACGAAATCATATGTTCTCAGGCCTGTATCGGCCTTTAGCCTGCAACCTTAGCCAGGTTCTGTTCCGCCGGCAGAGCAGGCGTCCAGAATGTCGCGGCTGAAGCGACGGAAGGAGGGTGGACTTTTGTTGGTTCGGGTTCCATATGCAGTTTAGGGATGTTTAGGGCTTGAGCAGGCTTTGAGTGGGGTTGTTCGGGAGGTCCTTCTGGTTGAGAAAATGAGGGGCGTTATAGTTTCAGGTGCACACGACACTTGTTCGCAGCCGGGATGTATTTGCGGCTATTAAAAGTATTGTGGCTGATTCTTCATGCTGTCATAAAAAGAAAGATGGTTCCAGACTACTATCTTCCGTCAGTGGTTTTATCACGCGCCCTGCTTTGACTGTAGGTATGTATGTATGTTTACGTAGTTATGTGTACGTTTATACACGTTGCAGGGTGCCAGAATGTGTACATGCTTATTTATCTGTCTGTGTATATATATATATATATATATTTATGTATGTACTTATGCGTACAATAGATCATGTACGTGTCTGTTTGTTTGTATGCATGCATGTATGAATGTCAGTAGGTGTGTGCATGCATAGGTAGGTGGGTGGGGAGGTGGGTAGGTTGGTAAGTACGTATGCATGTATGCGTGCATGCATGTATACATGCATGCATGCCTGCATGCATGTATGCATGTATGTATGTACGTATGTATGCGTGTACGTGTACGTGTGCATGTACGTGTATGTATGTGTGTATGTACGTTTGTGTATGTATGTATGTATGTATGTACTATGGAAACGTATGTAATTATGAGTTATGGAAGTGTAGGTATGTATGTATGCATGCATGTACGTATGGATTTATGTACCTGACGCTGTCGAGGGCGAGTGTCAACATGTATGCATGTAATTATGTATATATATATATATACATACATATATATACATACATATATATATATATATACATATATATATATATATATATATGTGCGGGTTTGTGGCTGTCTTTCGGTTTGTCTGCCTGTGTGCATGTATGTATGGATTGAATGTGGCTAGCAGCAGTTGCTGCAGCCGCCCACAGACTTACCCCCCCACATCGCAGGGCAGCTCCGACAACGTCATAGCCGCCCTCCGTGGAGGGTTCGAGAGGGGGTACTAGCTGAATGTGGACCCAGATGCAGGGAGGGAGGGAGGGAGGGGAAGGGAGGGAGGAAGGAGGAGGGCGGGGGAGGGAGCACACGTGGAGAGGGAGGAGGAGGCGAGAGGCGAAGACAGAAGGAGGAAGGGAAACGAGGCAGGCGAGGGCCCTGTGCAGCTTATTACGACCCCGCAAGAAGACGGATCGCTGGCTCTATGTACACCGCACGGCCCTTCCATTGCAGGGCACCAGGCCCGGCGGAGCACACATTCTCGCCAAATATTGGCAGTTTCGGGGGTAAGGCCTGCAGGGTGGCGCTGAGGACTATCTGTGTAATTTGTGTGTGTGTGTGTGTGCGCCTACGAGCAGCTGAAGTCGTAGCAAGGTTTCGTCGTGGTTCCTGCTTGTGAGTTCATTTGCTATGTATTTATATATGTATGAATGTTTGACTGTATGTACGTGTATGTCATGTCATGTCATGTCATGTCTGTCTGTCTGTCGTGTTGCACATGCATGTGCATAGTGACATTTGCTCGAGGGTCGAACGTGCAGCTACGGCCCGAGAGCATCAGATTTTCTTTCATTAGGACTCCTCTTTGGTCATGGCAGCTTGCTCCGCGTCAGAAGTTCGCAGGGCAGTGGCGGTGCTGGAGGCAGTGGCAACCTCTGCGTCCACTGATTACCATACTGCTTTCGATTTGCTGCTGGAGCGCTGCCGTCACGACCTTATGGAGTTCATGGCGTATGTCGATACGGACGTGCATCATCGCTTGGCTGCTCTTCGCGATCTGTTGACTTCTTTGAAGTATGACCAAGCCATTCCGATCGAAACTGCACAACCGTATCGTGAACTTTTGTCTTTTCAGGATGCCGCCTCCAAGAAGACCCTTGAGATTCGCAGGTTGTGTGCGCAGTCCTCTGTGCTTGCTACGTTCTGCCCGGCTGGTGGAGCAGCTATGTATGCATGCGAGTACATGCGAGATCAGTGCCGAGCCATCGGACAGGACAGGACTGCAAAGGGGCATTGCTTCAGGACAGCACTTTTCCATAGCGGCCTCAGCGGCTGATAGCAGTCCCACTCTTGTAGGGCTACAGTAGTGCGTTTCGGCTCGAGATGGCAGCCGGTGAGCTGTGGCGAGTACTCAGAGACCGGGGCCTACAGGAACTGGCTCCTTGGCTAGTTCGATCCGGGATCTTTCGTTTAGAGGATGTTCTGGTCAGACGCGAGGAGTTGGCGCTAGTCGGTGTTTCGCCATGGCAAGTCGAACTGCTGTGTCACTCTGCTACAGCTCGTATATCGGTGGTGCAGCCGGCAGCGGCCGAGAGGCGACAGGATTTGCCTGTTTTCCTCAAGCGATCTAGGGCCGATTTTGATGCAGCTTTGAACGCAGCGCGGCCAGCCAACAGAGCCGAGGCCATTGCAAACCTGAAGCGTGACATTCTTGCCAGGAGCACCACGGGGCCAGTTTTGTCTAGGATTCAGTTTTGGCACAACGTTACCTGGGCCTGGGATTTGCCTGCTTTTCCGATCGATCGGGAGAATCTGACAGCCGTAGCTGCTAGCTTGAAGGCCGGCGGTTACAGGAGTGCTGCACAATATTTCTCAACAGCAATCAAATGGCAGGAACGCGAATTGGGTGTCACTGTGTCCAGCGAGTGCAGAGCTCTCGTGAAAGATTACGCGAGGGCGATTCGCAGAGGCTTGGGGCCTGATAAGTTGAAGGACAGCTTCGCGGTCCAGGATCTAGAGGCGGCCATCCAGTCCATTGACATCGAGGCGCCGGGGCCATGGTCGCCCAATGACGAGGCGTCATGGTTGGACGCTTCTGTTGTAGCATGCTGGTACATGTTGCGTGAAGTGGAACTTGCGGGGATGCGCCGGCAACACTTGTATTTACATGGGAACAAAGTGCATTTGCTTTTGCCAGTCGAGAAGACGGACACTGCAGGATCGCTGTGCTTGCGGTCGCTCGCCTGCGCTTGTCGAGTGCGGCGACAACCGTTGTGTCCATACCACGCTGCCGCGAGACACATTGCCAGGCTGGAACGATTCGAGACCGAGACGGGAATTGACGCGGGGTTTATGTTTCCAAACTTGAACGGCCAGGATCTGACCAAAGCAGAGGTCATACGTGGCTTTGGCACAGCTTTGACTCGGGCAGGTGTTCCTCTCAGCCGTCCCGACGAAATGGGCAAGCCCGTTTCTCGGTTTGGTGGCCATGTCATGCGCGTCTCAGGAGCCCAATGGCTGATATACATTGGCCTTTCTGTGCCACTGGTACAAGTGTTAGGTCGTTGGAGCTCAGCGGCCATCTGGCGTTATATCCAACAATCCCCTTTAGCACCCGCGAGACAGCTGGGCCCAGAAACCGCAGATTGGCTGTTAGTCGATGGGCGCGAGAGAGCACCCAAGAGGTCGCGAGAACCAGACAAAGAGTCGCGCGGCAGCGACTTGCGGAAAGACTTGGGCGAGCAAGCTCAACAGATCCAGCAACTTCGGTCGGAGATGAGTTTGCTGAAACAAAGTTTTGCTGAACCATCTGTCTTTTATATTCAGTCGTTCAGGAGCGGGCGCATCCACAGACCAGCAGTGGACGAATCAGCTAACCGGCCGAAGAAGTGGAAAACTTTGTGTGGCTGGCCTTACGGCATTAGGAATCACCACAGGATCACGGCATATACCGAGGAATCCAAACTTTGTGTTCGATGTTTCGGGCTAGAGCCTCCCGAGGAGGACCATGCCAGCCAGGGGGACAACTGTACAGGTGACAGCAGCAGCAGTAGCGACTCGTCCGACAGCTCGTCGAGCTCGTGAAGTGCAGTGCGATCTTTAGGCAGTGTTCCGGGGTTCAGGGGTCCGTCAGTGCCATCCAATTTGCGCCAGGAGTTTTGCTTGGGCGTGTTCTTCGTGTCCTACCTGGCCCAGTTCCTCAACGAGCGCATCGGATCAGCGGGTGGCAGGACGCCGCGTAGGGACACAAGTCCTCTGAGGGCATCAGGATCGTCAGAGCAGCCAGTGAGTACCAGTCGGGTTGTAGGAGCATCGCATGAGATAGATGTTTCGCAGATGGATTGAGCGGCGTTGACCGCAGAGAGGTCGGTTGACCCGGTGTCACCAGGACAACCGACGGTGAGAAACCGGAGGCAGCGGGCCCTCTGGTGCACTCGGCATGCATAAAAACTGTGTCGCGGTGACGGGATTCAGTGCCCCTCGACAGCAGCAGTGTAGGCGACATTCCATTCGAGTGATCAGGTGACGCCGTTAGGGCACGCAGTCCTGGATTCGGCAAGCGCCAGCTACATCCACGCATGTGCGTTTTTCGCTTTGTTCAAGTTTTTGTGGATCGGCGGTAGAAGTGGCGGTGATTGTGCATGTCATGGGAGTTTTGAGTGTGACTTTCAAGGCCGGATTGTCGTGCCTTCAGGAAGGGTTCGGTCTTTGCGTTCGCCGTTCATGTGATTTGCCTGTCGCGGCCCATGGCTTCGGCTACAGAGTTGACCTTGAAGGAGATAGCAGATCAAGCCGGCGCAGGCACAGAGATAGTGCGATACCTGGATGAGCGAGGGCTCAAGTCCACAGGAGCGCTGTCTTTGATAGCGTCCAGCGAGGACGCTTTTGAGCAGATTGTGTGCAAACCGTTGTTTGATGGTTGGCAGCACACTCCCACTTCGAGAAAGATCGAACTGTTGCCGGAGGAACAACCCATAGCGAAGGCGATATTACTTTACATGTGGCACTTGGCCAAAGAGACTCGAGCGAAACAGGTCATCGCGGCAGCTCCAGGAGCGGTTGGAACACCAGCCTCTACACCACCAGCTTCATCATCAGCCTCAGCTTCGGATTCGAAGGTCCCTAAAACTTTGGCGGCAGGTGAATGGAACCGCCTCATCGAGCGGTACAACGCCATTACACTGGCGTCCGAACGCCGGGAATTCCCGGAGGAGGAGCTGTTGGGAGCGGAATGCGTGGTAGCGAGGGTCCTTCACGAACATGTGACAACGAAACAATACAGTCCTGTAGGGCTTGGTGAAGTGATCACAAGACGGTCCATACAGGCCAACGGCGAGGTGAATCCCCTGGCAAAGAAGGTCAGGTCAAGTAAACTGTCCGTGGAGGACGGCATATTGAAGGAGGAGTTCCATCAAGACGACGACTGGACACCCAAAGGACTGCTTAGCATAATGGACGGCTTGAATTCGATTCGGTGGCTTTTCATACTCACCGAGATCGGCCCGGAGAAGGCCGTACATCACTATTTCAATCAGCTTATCAAGAAACTCAGATCCCGCCCCAACAAGCTTGTGGCCTTTCGAGCGTATTACGAAGCAATTTCATGGCGCCTAGCTGCTTTTCTTCGTCAGGGCAAGAGCTTCAAGGAAGCATCCGAGTCGATATTGGCAGATGTGTCTTGCTTTCAGGAACACATGCTGAAGGAGGAGAAGAACTTCGATCCGAACAAGAAACGCCCATTCGCGGATGCAGGCTCGCAAGACTCACCATCGAAGCTGCAGCGACAGCAGACTAAGGGCAACGAGAAGGGTGACAAGGGCAAGCAGGGATTCAAAGGCAAGACGGCGAAAGGCGATGGCAAGTGGCGTCCATGGCAGGACTTTACTGGCAAGGGCGGCTGGCAACAGACCCGCACATGGCAGCGGGATGAGGACCGTCGCTAGGGACAGCGCGGGGCATCCCCGCGTGCCGAGGGGGCTGTACCCGTTAGTCTTTACACATCGGCACAGCGGCGGGTGGCGCCATATCCGGAACCACCCAGGTCGTCGGATGACAGTGTTGGCAAGCCGGTGGCAAGCAACCAAGACGCTTCCAAATCCCATCAAACGTCCCAGGATGCAGGGTCGCTCCAACCGTCAGGGGACGGCTCTACTACCACCAGCTCCAGCAGCGGATCAGCATCAGCGTCGAGATCCAAACCCGGAGCCGCTGGCCCTACTTTGGAGTTGAACCTACCGGCAATCGCATTGTCGAAGGATTGCTTCCTGCTCAGTTTCTTTGATGGCATTGGGGCCTCTGCTTATGTGTTACAACGCATGGGAGTCCGTCTTCGTGCAGTCTTCACTTGGGAGGTGGATGAAAAGGCGAAGCTCATATCCAGGCGGCAATTCTCTGGTCTGCGCTTCGACCGGGGTGACCTTCGCAACGACGACCCCAAGAAAGTGGCCGGTATGATAATGGAGATGGACCCCGAGTCCAAGGCAGTGATCCTTATCATGGCCGGACCCCCATGTCCGGATTTTAGTCCGGTTAATCCCGACGGTCAGGGGCGAGCGGGTTCAACTGGTCGTCTCTTTAGAGAATTCTGCGATTTCCTGTCTCAGTTTGAGGAGGCCGTTCCGAATCACGACCGCCACATACTGGTAGAGAACGTCGTGATGAATCAGAAGTCTGATGTAGATTGGTTCACGCGCCACCTGAAAGCTGAACCCATACTACTGGACTCAGCCGAACTGGGTCTTGTGTCTCGACCACGGTTGTTTTGGACGCGGATGGATTGGGCTTCGGTCCGAACCAACCCTTTCAACAACAAGTTGTTGAGGTGGGGACAGAGCCAGGGCCACAGGAAGCTTTTCATGGACGCGCCCAGAGACAACCATGAATCACTGGACATGCCAGGACTCTCGCTGCCTCGCGAGGTGATCAGCGGCGCCAGGACATTTCCTTGCATCACAACACCCGCTGGAACAGCGGAAGGCAGGCCGCCGCCTCGCAAGATGCGCGGGAAAGTGGATCCAGCGGCCAACCGTCGATGGTTAGAAGGCCACAAGCAGTATGCACCATGGTTCTATGAGGAGTCTGCCATGGTGCGATCATGCACCGATGATCTTATGTTGTTGCCAGTTGAACTGAAGGAGCAGCTTCACCATTACCCTTCAGGTATGACCCGACACGATCAGGTGGAGCCGCGCGATCGTCATCGTTTGTTAGGCAACAGCTGGCATGCAGGTGTAGTGCGTTTTCTGATGTACCTGATGCTGTCGCAACTTGTGACAACGACAGCGACTGCTTCCGACGGCTTGATGCAGTCAGGCTCCGGGTTTCAGGAGGCGATTG